ATAAAAAAAATCTAAAAGAAAAAAAAAAAAGAAATTTTAAACAGTAAGTATTAGAGTTGATTGAAGCTTATTTTTTTCATTGAAGCTCATTTAAAAAAAAAAAAAAAAAAAAAAAAAAAAAAAAAAAAAAGAATGACCCTGAAGATTTGCATCAAGCGATTGTGTGCGTGTGTTGTGTGTGTGTAGAACACACGAAGCAAGAATGGCTGGAACTGGTGACTGCTGAAGGGAGGAGGTACATGGGAATTCAGTATACTGTTCTATTCCCATGCAAGCCAGACCTTTTCATAATAAAAAAAGTCAAGAAATTATCAAAATAAAAGCTCTGAAAAGAAAGCCAGCTATGGGCCAGCCGAGTGGCGTGTTGGTTAAGAGTTGGCTTGGGATGCCAGTTCTGAGCAGCAGGGCCCTGGTTCGGATCCCACATGAGGGCCAGTGATGCTGTGTCCTCTACAGCTAAGATGGTGAACAACAGCTCGATCTGGAGCTGGGCTGCCCTGAGTCACCAGTGACAGCGTAGGCTGCAGTGGAGCTGCAGTGGGCTGCCTTATGCTACCGTGAGCTGCCGGCAGCTGGTGTGAGCTGCCACGAGCTGCCATGAGCAGCCGTCCAATGCTCAGCGACCGATCTGCCTCACCTGGGAAGAGTGCAATGATAATACCAACATGGGCCAGTGAAGCAACATCCTCCACAATTAGACTGAAGAACAAAAGGACAGCAACTTGTCTGTTCCCCTCCCCCAATTCCCCAATAAAATCTTTTAAAAAAAAAGGCAGCTACTAGTCCTCAGAAGATAGCAAGTGACAGGACTGAGGCGGTGCTGCTCGGACAGGGGTCAGCCTGGGAAGTCACTGGGGTCTGGAGGAAGGCCGTCCAACAGAACTCTGTGCTGATGTGAACACTCGAGGTCTGTATGGAGCCATAGCCACAGGGAGTCTTCAGCTCCTGTGACTCAGAAACTAAAATTTTCACCTTAAGTTTAATTAATTTAAGCTTTAAAATGAAGACACAATCGACCTGTTCCTCACAGAGAACCTGGGAAGAAGCTCATCCAAGGACCTGCACTCGAGACAGAGGAAGAGGGGCCGCTGGTGTGCACCCAACAGAAAGATGGCACGTGCCAAGCTCCAGGGCCACCCTGCTGGTCCTCCCCCCTTAGTGGTGCTAAGCCCTACTGCAAGAAGGCAGTAGGGAACCTACCTTCTCACTTAAGCAAGCTTGGAAGTCACTCTTCATATCTGTCACAGCAACCCTATCCTGCGGTCTTTTTGGACCACTGACAGATGGAACTATTGAATTCAGGTTAATCTGGATCACCTAGGACATAAGAGGAAGGAGAGGAAAAGGAGTCAGGATTCATAAAGACAGGTTGCAATTCCAGCACGAGTTTCTGAGGCAGATTGAGAATATTTATACATGGGTTTGATGGATTTCAGTTTTATTTCTTAATCTGGTCAGGTTTTTTAATAGGCAAATTTATTCCGTTTTACTATACCACCCAAATATTTCCATTTAATTCCCTTATTCTTTCCCTGTGTCTTATTTTTAATGTGGACAAAGCACTAGATTCAATAAACAGAGCTGAAAGCAACACGAAAATGATCAGAGAAGTTAAAAGATTTGCCCAAAGTATCATACACGTTCAGTTCCTGTGGGTTCTATGCTGGCCTTCAATATTCCTATTCATGTATTCACCCAACGTGTTTACTGAGTATATACTAGGTCCAGGCACTGGGAATACTGTGGCAAACAGAGCAGAACAAGTTCCTATCCTCACCGAGCTCACCTGTTTTCTGGTTGGGGAGAGGCAGGACAACAAGTATATAAAATAATAGATAATGTCAGGTCAGCATACATGCTATAAAAAAATAAAGCTGGCTGAGAAAATGTATTTCTCAACAAAAAATAGCTTAACAGTTGACCAGACCTATGATGGCACCAACCTGTTTTAGACCCTGACACACTCCTAGAAAATGAATCTTATTAAGACTTTCCTGAATGTGCATTCTACCTACTTCAATATAAATTTCTAACAGACAAATGTTTGCTTTGGTTGTTAAAGATCTTTAACATTTAGACCACATAACCATATATCCCTTTCACAAGTGTATTTTTACAAAATATAGACATTAACCAGATGCAGACATCATTAAAATTGGTATTTTGGGAGGATATTACAGTACTCTTATTATAAAGTAATAAAAAACTAGAATGGTTAATTTTATGTTTCAAATATTAAAAAATTAGACTTGATAAAATGTCATAAAATTCGCTGTAATAGAAATCTATGGAAAATGAATAAAATCAAAGCAGGGTCATAAATAACATTTGTTAAATAATAATAATAATAATAGTTATCATTTATTGAGCACTTACTATGTGCCAGAAACTGTTCTAATGATTTTGTACTTAATCTCTTAAAAATACTATGAGGTAGATTATCTTTATATTTTAGAGATAAGAAATCTGTGGAGGAAGGCTAAATAAACTGCCCAGGACTGTGTAGCTAATAAATCTCAGGGCCGGGACTCAAACCCAGGTTCTCAGACTCCAGAATTTCACCCACTACCAGGTGGGTTATTCTATACATACCTGGGAGTATTCAGGTTCTCCTGAATTATTCTCATCATTTCGAAACAATTTCACAGCTTTAAGGTATGTTTCCATTGTCTCGAGTTTGGCTTTGTCAAAACCTAAAAGGAAGATGAACAAAAATCCAGTAAGGAATTTTGAAATCTTCAGGGATTAAGAACGCTGAATTTCAATGGTGGGCAAGAAACAAATATTACAAGTTACTAAGTACTCAGGATCGATTTCTTTACAAGTTAGTACTTGATCATATTCTCAACAGTAGTAAAAATTTTACCCTCCAGGAAAAACTCTATAAACTACATAGCAGCCCCACCTTTAAAAGTTATTCAATCACAGACAATATCAGAAATACTGAGTCAGTTCTACAAAACTTACAAAAAAGTTTGCAAAAGAAAAACCAATCATAAAATTAAACATATTAATAAATTACTACGCCCCCATGAAGAGTAAATTCATTATTTTCCCTGAACAAGCAACATCAATAAAGTCAGAATGAAAGATTCAAGTAAATGAAAGTTAAAACAGTTGCACAGAGCAGAAAGATAAAGAGATCTAACAAGATCTTCAGAAATTAAAAGAATTTATTGGGTTGTCAGAAAAGTCATGACGTCTTTTTTCCGTGTTTTTTGTGCAAAAATGTGTCATGACTTTTCTGACAACCCAATAGATGTTAACAATGAAAATTTCCCATGTGACACTGGGCACATATCTATAAGCCTGATGGCAAGTAAATGACAGTGGCAGGCTATATCTTCCCATGATTGCCACAGCAATACACACCCAAAGTTACAGCATGAGTGACATTCCTGTCAAGAGGCAGAACCTATGTTCACTCTCCTGAGCCTGAGCAGTGTGCTTTCTGGCTGGCGGGGGCGCTCTCTCTCTCTCAGGTTCCCTGGAGAAAGCATGGTGGGGTTAAGGCTGACGGCCCCCTGTGGAGTCCCCAGGGGACAGCCAGCACTCACTGCCAGAGGTGCATGCAAGTGAGAAGCCTTCAGGACTCTTGACCTGGCTTTCAAGTCTCGCCGCTGAGACCCCAGAAACCACAAAGCAGAGACAAGCAGTCCGAGCTGTGCCCTGGTGAGTTACTGACCCACTGAAGCCACGTGGCAATAAATAATTACTGCCCTTTTAAGCCATTATGTTTTAGGATAACCTGTCACACAGTAATGGATCATTAATGCAGTAACTCATTTTAATATGCAAATGAAGCACCTCTAACGTTTCTCTCTTGAATGTTCTACAGCCGATACCCAGATTAGACAAAGCTTTGTTCTATGAGGACTGTCCCTCGAAGGTTCCAAATGACCAAGCATCAATTTTGCTATTTGGCTTATAAAATTATAACACTGCTCCAAACTGGAGAATGCTAAAATATGTTCTCAAAATACATCTTTGATTACAGCAATGATCTCTTAAAAAATAGGAAATGCATCAAATCAAAAAGAGATTCTACTTTTTAAATGGGGCCTTACGATAAATCTACACATTCTGGTTTTGCAGGTAGTTGTTTTAAATTAAATGGCAGTCAAGAGAAGGCGGGCCAAAGTTCCCAGTTAATCAAGCTACAAAAAAGATTGGAACCTGTAACCCTCTTCTGCTTTTCACAAAATTATATGCTTCCAGCTCTTTAGCTAGAGCACCGGTTCTCGGCCTCTTCTGTCTGGATGTGGACGTGCTCCACCTCTGACCCCTGCGCAGAGCAGGTCTCCATGACCATGGGGAGAGTGAGGGGAGGGTGAGCAGTTTGAGTGATTCCTTCAGGCTGCTGTCAGTGGGTCAAAGGGCACTAGGGCTTGAGAGCACGACACTTGTTAAGTCATCTGATGCAGTTTACTTAAAAGCCGCAGTTTCAGAAGAAGATGATTTCATGAATATTAAGTAACAAGGCAGGGATTTATTATAAAGTATTTCAGACACGATGGAAACATAACACACACCTAATGAGCTTCTGTCTTCTTACCTGTATGTCCTAAATGTTTTAATGTCACATTGTCAACAGGGAAAAAGCTGAGGATAGCACCATATTCTGGACACATGTTTGCTATTGTAGTTCGATCCACTACAGATAACTGTGAAACTCCACTTCCAAAAAACTCCACAAACTTCCCAGCCACTCCTGCTTGCCTGAGGTGCTATAGAAAGGGATACACAGAAACACACACAAAATTAGCAGTAAGATTAGCACAGATTCTCTGAAAGCTAAACAATCTAGTGTTTTAGCCACCGCTAGTGAGAGTGAAGGTAAGAAACATCACCGTGCTGTGGTTTTGCAGGCCTTTTAAGATAAACAGTCAACAGAAGATAGGCTCAGTGTCACTGCGAGGCAGGGCAGAAAAGGTCTGCACATTCAAGCTCAAAGTGGCTGAGGTTCCCATTTTAACATTTCTGAAATCGGGGTACAGCTTAGACGCAATGGTGTGTTGTTAGCTAACAATCCTTTTTCTCAGCAGTACACAAAATAATGGTGCTTGAAACCACTGATGGCATCTTAGATTTAATGAAATACTAGTTCACTGATCAAACTGTGCATTTAAATAAAAAATTATACACTGGCTATAAAATTCTTCCAAGTCCAGCTAATGGTCCAAATTATTTATAGCAAAATTAATTATAGGTAAATTCCATTTGATAGGATTTAACATGTGGCTGCAAACTTAAATCCTTCTAAAATCATTTTTCTTACTACCAATAACTAAAAGAGCTGCTCACCTTTTCTAAATTGTAAAATGGTCTCAGATTAGTGTAGAGAGCGAGCCTAGGGAGGTGACTAAGAATGAAACAACCTTCAGCCTGTGAATAACGCTGAGTCCCGTACACAGAGGTGCACGGCATCACTTATTTCCAAACTCTTTTTTACAGACATAGACACTCAAGCCTGAGTAAGATGTCTCCTTATATTCACAGGTATGTTTTTGAGGATGAAGAATACAGATTAGATAGACCAAGCTCTGCTTTCACAAAACTAATGAGGGACCACAATATACATTTTGAAAAACAATACACGATTAATCCTACAAAGATCACTAATACAACAGGAACTCAAATATAATATTCAATAAAGGCATGAATTCATATGTTGAATTTTTGTATCAATAAATCAAAATGTCAAAAATTGACATGTTAACATTTAAAAAATATATATATAGCCAGAGGGGTCTAAAAAGCAGCATTCATTTTCTGGACATCTGAAGGAAAGAATTGATTTCTCTAAAAACATAATGGGATGCTCCTTTTCCTTTAGGAATAATGCTTTAATTCTCAATTTCACTTCTTCCATCTTCTAGACCCGTAAAAGGAATCAATCATTTCTGTAAGATGTCAAATATTTTTCTAATCAGGGAAGAAGGATCAATACTACATTTTCTTTCCCTGCGGAGTAGCCTGAAAGCCTTCAGACAACAACCTAAAGGGAAATGCTGAGACCCTGGGATCCTACTGGGATTACACGGGGAACACACGACTTGATTGGTAAAATGAAGCTTGAGACACCAAATTTAGGACGGGGCGTTACAAACGGCATCACTAGGAAACCTACACTCCTTGCACTGAACATGTGCAGCAGCCAGTATTTTAAAAACTCAACAGAAAAATATATTATAAATAAATGTCAGAACAGCCAATAGAAAAAACCTGACACTATATTTCTACAGTTCAAATTTTTTGAAGTATTACCTAGTAGAGTAATAGTTTCTAAAGGGTAAGTGATTCAATTAAGTATTAAAGATTAGACTTTTCCTAAATACAGTTTCATTCATGTTGCCAACAAGTCACTTACTGAGGCAATAAGGCCAAAGGGTTAAGAGCATGGACTCAAGAGCTGACCGCCTGGGTTCCAGTGCTTGTCCTACCACTTACTGTTCAGCCCAGTGCCTCTAGGTACGGCATTCAGCCTCACTGTGTGTTTCCTCAGAACTGAAATGAAGAGGTGAGAACAGCACCGATCTCCCTGGCTGGTAATGAGGGATCGATGGGGTAACGTGTCCACTGAACAATGACACAACTGTCTTGTACTTCCCAGAACAAAGCAGGTGTATGTGTTTGCTATTACTACTAGGCTGGAAGGACTGCTGAGGAGGCTCATGGAGCCTCCCACCCGCTACGTCATGCAGCCGCGCTCTAACGTACCTTTGTGATGCCAAGAACAACATCTATGGATGTAACAAAAGCGTTTGATGAGCCAGTTAACTCACATCCAACCACCTCCGGTAAAGTCAGAGAAACAGGCAGCCCAAGCATAACTGATTCTGTCTCAATGCCTCCAACCCCTACAAAGAAAAGACAGGCACATCAGCATGTAAAGGTGATGGCATCCTGGTAAGGTCAGGGTGTTTCATGAGCTCGTCTTACACAGTCCGCATACAGAGCTGTGGACATAGCGCCCGAGTCTTCTCACAAGAACTCCACTGACATGGTTAAAAACCTGGATACTGACCTCTGTATTAAATTGAGTAAACACTTAGTATTTATTATGCCAAGTACTGGACTATGCTCCAGATACGGTACGCACAGAAAACAGCTTAGCCCAAGGGCAAAGACACAGTCATCACAACCAACGGCCTGTGTAAGAGTCATGACGGCCAGCGGAACAGCCTCAGCAGAGCCGGACAAGTGAGAGCACAGCCCACTCGGGATAAAAAACCAGTCTTCAAGACTCTGTGACCTAAGGCCAAAGAGGCACCAGTTGTGAGGGGCTTTATACACTAAAATGCAAAGGAACTTGGGTTTATAACAGAGGCCAGGAGAAGCCACTGAGGTCTTTACCTGAAGAGTAACCACGTCACCTTCACAGATGTCCTTCAGCCTCACTCTAACCACCACCCACAGCGGTGCTGTGCTGTGTTGGGAGCTGGGCAAATGCCACCAATTCTCTTACACCACACTGTCCGCAAACACGGTTTATTTTGTTATTGCTACAGTAGATGCAAGAGCCTCGGAGGCTATAGATATTCCTTTATGATGTCCCCGCTGTCCCCTGCATTCTGGCATTTACTTACCCCACCCCAGGATCCCCAGGCCGTTCACCATGGTCACGTGAGAATCCGTGCCAACGACACTGTCTGGAAAGAGGAGGTCCTTATCTTCAGAAACCACCCTGGACAAATACTCCAAGTTGACTTGATGAGCCATTCCAGTTCCGGGCGGGATTACAGCCACATTCTTAAACACTCTTGAACTCCACTATGTTTTGTGTAAATTTAAGAAATCCAAGTGTTAGTAAATTATATGAATGTGTGCTCACTGTCAAGATATAAATATTGACACTAAAAATATTTTACCAATGTTCAGTCCAAATTTATAGTACATGCTTAAAAATAAATATGCAGACACTAAACCTAAACAAATTATTTTGTAGATTATTACATCAAAATTAAGTCAAAGAAAAATATTCCAATAGTCCAGAGAAATGATAGTTTCCAACTGTGTCCCCAGGAGCCACAGGGGTGGGGAGAAGGAAAGGCCCTCCCAGCTCACCTTAACTACAGCCTCTGTTTTTCCCTTTCCCTACACCCTGGCAATTCCAGTTACGCTGTATGTGAAAGAACAAAGGGCTCTGCTGCTACGAAGTGTTTAAAAACTACTGGTCTAACGATATTAAAAAACGTTCCTATCAATATTTTATAAATTTCAATATAAAAATTTCCCTCAAATCATTTCTACCTTGAAAAATTGAAGTCTCTCTCGATTTCTGCCGAATTCTACTTCTTGATTTTTTAACACTGTTTCAGGTCTAAAAGGAAGAAGAGCCAGTGTTAAATGTACATTTTACAGAAACGACATGCCTTGTTTCCAAGTCTTCATTCTTATACACACACATATTTTTTAAATTCACGGAACAGCAATTTACCAGACTTCTCAGAATCAGTTATTTTCTTTCAACAAGGAAGTTCTGCTTTGAGTAACACACTAGAAAACAATTACCAGGACTTACTAGTTTACTGGGTATATTAAAACCAGGTCCACACCAGGGTACCAAACTGTACTTAACATGCCTTACTCTGAGATTTGACTAAAAGCATATTAAAAATAACATGGTAAGTTTTGTTGGATTTCCCACCTCAAGAAAAAAGGAGGGCAGTAGCTTATTCAACAATAAGCACGGGGCCGGCCGAGTAGCTCAGTTGTTTAAGAGCTCGCTAAAGAGTTTGAGCTCTGAGCAACAGCGGTTCGATTCCCGGCCCGAGCTGAGCAGCCACTGAGCTGCCAACAGGTGGCAGGATGGCTCAGCTTAAAAATAAATAAATAAATAATAAGCACGTACATTTCCACCTACTTGGCCCTTGCGCCAGCTAAACTAGAAGAGAGACATTGGTTATCTCTGCATAGCAATATCATTTTATAGTTTAAAAAGAGCTTTTGGCCAAAATCTTGTATTCACCTCACCCAAAATGGAAGGGTCTATTTTATCTACTAAGTAGCAGTTTACTTTATATGGATTGTAAGTATATTCATGCATTAAATTAATAGATAAAAACAATCTCGAAACAGTAAACACAGATCCATTTTTAGGAAGCTATTTTTATCTAACGGATAGTTAAAAAAATGATTACTAACAGTTTTAAGTTGTTTATTTTGCCTGCCAACTGGTGATTAAGTGTTGACTAGAATATCAATACAACTTAAATTATACATGTCCTCTGGGGGCCACATAATTCCAGTTGCTTAACTGTCAACTTTTTTTTAAACAAAGGCTACTTGAATAATTCATTGCTGAGTGGTCATGTGAAGCCACAGCACCTCTTAGTGAGACTTTTTTCTCAGGACCTCAGGGATCACTGCTTTCCAGAGCCACCACAATTACTTCACCTCCCACACACAGCATGTGCGCTGTAAAGTGCCAGACACACATCTTAGCTCACGACCTGACTGCCAACTGGGCAGTGATTTCAAGTGCCAAATGCATGCTCTCCACTTTCTACCCCTCTATTTCTTGTTAACGTTTATAATTAATACTTCATTGATGCATTAATAGCACACACGAGAGTTATTATTTTTATACAGCCTGGGCCTACAACATAACCCATCTTACTACTTTATAATTTAGAGTCAAAACAGAAGGAAAATGTTACACCAAACTGGATGTTTAAAAATAAAATCATATCATCTTAGCACTTCCTACTCTGTCAATTATAAAAGACAACCAAGAAAATCAATGATTTTTTAATCAATAAATCCTTTTCAGGAAATGAGTTTCTGTGTAAGAGATGTCAATCTCAAAAGTCAATATGCCTCTAACAATCAGGACAACCAGGTATCAGGAATAGGAGTTAATACATAAAACTGTCATAATTTGATGGCAAGACCCACAAATTGTATTGGATTCTTAGAAAGGAAGAACACATGAGGTTACTATAACCTGAGGCTTTATAGAAATAGAGCCAAAAACTGTAGAACTAGACAGAACTCAAAAGATCTACTTTAGGAACAAATGAAATAACGTATTATGTGGCACACAGGATGAAATATGTGTGGATACTATTCTTAGCTATTCTAAATCTTAAATGTGTTAAATTCTAACTTTAAAAACTTTAAATCATGTTTTATTCAATTAAAAAATGGGGGGGCAGTCTATTAACAATGCGATAAACAACTTAACAGGAGAAGAAAACTTTGGAAACTTTACAACATATAAAAATTAAAGTCATAGAACTCTTTCTTATTTTGAAAAATTACCTATTAGGAAATTGAACCAACTCCTAAGACCAGGGTTCTTTCTAGGCAGGCTTATTTTTTCCCATGGTACCACATAGGCCATCAGTTATCTAACAAGGCTCATTAAGGTTATAACGTATGATAATTGATTATATTAATAGAGAATTCTTAACACAGTAAAAAATAATTTAAAAATCTCCTAGAAGGAAAAAAAAAGCTAGAAATATAAATAGGGAATTCACAAAAGAAATATGAGTAATGAGGACATGAACGGTACAAATTCATTAAAATAAGAAATTCAGTTTAAGATGTGATACCATTTTTCTTCATCAGTCAGAAAAATTAAGTATATTTACAGAAAAACCTGAAGTTTCCTTCCTAAGGAACAGAAATCAATGTGGGTATTTCAGACCCCCACTGTAATGAACTCTGCTTCTGTCAGGACCACAGGCACGATGGGCTCCTGCACAGTAAGTGTGACGGCACTGCCGCAGGAGTTGCAGATGGGGGGGGGACAGTGTGATTTCCCTGACTGCAAACAATCTGGCTGGTACAGAAAAAAACAGTCTCATACTCAGGCACTGGTTGCAGATGAAAAGGACACAGAATGGGTGTGTTCTCGATCTGTGAGGACGATTTTCCTGAGCTGCGGCCTAGTTCTCCAGAGTCACAGGATCCACGGCAGGCAGTCTGGCCTCTGCAGGGGAGCTTCCTCGGCTGCACTTTAAGTGGAGAGAGCTTTCCTGCTCTCTGCGGGTCACCTCCTCCAGGGTTTGGAGCATTCTGTATTGCACTATCATTCCAAAAAACAACACAAGACCAGTTAAAAGTGACAGACTTAGCTCTTCCAAAAACACACACTATGTGGAAGTAAGTGAATGTTGTTAAACATTACCATACCATTTAACTCGGGTTTCAAAAGCAAATCTCAGGTTTTGCTTTTGAAAAAAAAACCAGGTAATTTAAATTTATGGAGATGAAAACATAATTCTAAGTGCCCAATAAAATCATACACTTCTTAACACCTTCAATAATTGAAGCTGCAAGTACTGATACAGATTTATGTAACAACTTAAAAGGAGCTCAGAGTCATAGTTTTAAGTTTTAATCCGGAGGGTAAATGCTCTTATGAGTTATGATGAATCGTATCTAATCCCAACACTCCAGGGAACATAAAAAAAAGTGGAGCAATGACAACAGAATCATGTCTTCTCTGGTTTGACCTTGGTCAAACAGATCTTCTAAATCTCAGAAATTTACTTCAGTGGGAAGAAAGCAGCTCTAGTGAGCTCAGTGTTTCCTTTTTGTTGTTTTATTTTTGAGCTCAGTGTTTGCAATCACTGATTCATTAAAGTCATTCATGGCTCACGTTTAGATTCTCTCTGAAAGAGAAGTAGGCTAATAAACAAAAAGGAAATTAAGACTGAATTCAGACAGTCACTCCAAAAAGCAGGTTCTAGGCTTATACATTTCTATAAAAAATGGTAGCAGAAATACTATACAAACATAAAATTAATTTTAAATTCAAACTAAGTAAAAAAAATTTCACCAATAAACTTTCCACCAGTTTTTCTTTTTCCATATTACTCAATACTAAACATAGGCTATTTTACTCTGCATAAATTAGCTCTACTTCCTTTCCTCTATCATACACTTCCAGTGGGTTGGTTGTCAGCTTGCGTGGCTGTCTTTACTAATATCTGTATTAAAGTACCATTTATTGAAGTCAATCTGTAAAGAATGGTCAACCGTGAGATCTGTCGGACAGGCAGGATGGACTTTCTTAGGATCGCCTCCAAGCGTTTTCACTGCCTCCCTCATAGCAGCAAAATCCACCATTGCCGGTATTCCACTGAAAAATATAAAATGATCAAATTGTAGTTCTAATTGTTCTTTTACATATGCTCAAATTAAGAATATGCGGGCCAGCCGAGTGGCGTGTTGGTTAAGAGTTGGCTTGAGACGCCAGCTCTGAGCAGCAGGACCATGGTTCCAATCCCACATGAGGGCCAGTGACACTGCACTCTACAGCTAAGATGGTGAACAACAGCTCGACCTGGAGCTGGGCTGCCGTGAGTCGCTGGTGACTGCGTAGGTTGCAGTGGGGCTGGCCAGCAGCCGCCGTGAGTGACCATCCAATGGCCGGTGAGTGACTGCCTCAGCCGGGAAGAGCGCAATAATAATACCAACATGGGTCAGTGAAGTGACATCCTCCACAACTAGACAGAAGAACAGAAGGACAGTAACTTGTCTGTTCCCCTCCCCCAATTCCTCAATAAAATATTTTTTAAAAAATTATGAATATGCAGTTATTCATTTTTATATTTTAAAAGTACCCTTTTTAAGTTTGCATTCATGTTTGATAATGTACTTGTTATCCACTGTCTGATGTGTCCTGAGATATGAAAATTACAGATATTGAGAATTACATTAAATATTGGGCTGTCGGAAAAGTCATGACATAGTTTTGCAACGAAAAACAGAAAAAATACATCATGACTTTTCCGACAACCCAGTATTATGAGAACTTGGGTGCTCGGGGGTAGATGTGCCAAAAGTCACACGGGATGATTTTCAAAGTCATAAGAGAACTTCAGGGGAACTGCCTATGGAATTCTTTCTCCTGCTTTCAATTTTACGATACCCTCTCTCTCTTTTCCCTAACTCCAGCCCCTTCCATCCCAGTGCCTTCCTGATACTCCAACGTTACCTGCTAAAATACACATATGTATCTGTTTCCAGCCAGCCGTGCAGCAGGCTTTTCCCAAATGCCTTCGTGTGCTAAACACCAATAGCACAGGCCAAAGAAGAGTGTGACTGCTCTCCAGGGGTTTCTAGGGGACAAGCAGTAATTAGGGTGACCCCGCAAACACAACGGCGGCAGTACACACAGGGCCCCCAGAACAATGGCCCGACCACACAAGGGTGAAGGGGACCCTCCTGTTTGTCTAGCTAACTCGTAAGCCTCCTTCAAAACTCAGCTCCAGGTTAACTTTTCAGGTGACTTCTCCCTGGACACCCAGGTCAGGCAAAGTCTCTCAGGTGGTGGAAACTGTGAGTTTTGGTCTAAATGTGATGGAAGCCACCTGGTCTAAGGAAACGGTATAGCCCTGATTACCATTTTCCTCTACTGGGAAAAGACTACAGGGTGCAAGTGCAGAGTCAGGGACGCCAGGCAGGGCACAATGACAGCTGTGGTCCAGGTAAGACAACAGGCTAAACCAGGTGACAGTGGCGCAGATGGTAAAGACCTGAAGCTGAAGAACTGGCTGAGACTGTGTGCAGGACAGGAGGGCTCAAGGTAAAGTCCCAGATTTTGTCTTAAACCAACAGGAGACTATAGTGCCATTTACTAGGATGTGAAAGATGTGGAGAGGAACAGTGAGGTGAGCACGGCAATCGAGGTTTGGGTATCTGAGGTCTGCAAAGTCTATTAGCTAGGCAGATACGGCAAGCAAGCAGTTAAGCAGAAGTAATTTTTGAATAAATGGTACGAGAAACAAGTGCCTAATTTTTAAAGAATTGCTTCAGTTTAGAAAGGGCAATTTTTAAAAATTCATAAGTTAATCTTCAAAATTAAAAAACAATGGAGCCAACCATCAGGGAATCTGAATTTTAAGGAGGGAACACTCTGAAATTCATTCATGCAAAAGAACCCTGTCACTCACGTAAAATCTTGAAGCAGAACACGGGCAGGGAAAAAGGGCACTTCGACATTGCTTTGTTTGGTTTTCCAGTCTAAAATGTTCATGACATCTTCCCTTTTCACGAAAAAGCCATCAAAATTTCGCACAGCAGCTTCCAACAGGACCCGTATTGAGTAAGGCAGGATATCTGAATCAAGAGAAAATATCACTATTAATAGGGAACAGTCACAACTACGTAAAGATTACAACAGCACAACGTTAGATGAAGACAGAGATGCACTGTTCTCTCCGTTTAAGAACATTTTCGTCTAGGAAACATGGACTTAAACCCATTCCTGCCGACACTGGGCTTCCACAAATCCGGCGTGCCTATATGCAAGCCAGGCCTGGATAAGCAGATAAAACCCTCACAAGAGCTGGCTGACCTGGGCACATGAAACTGACAAATACAAAGTCACATTCAGAGAGATAGAAAAACTGGAAAGCACTGAAAATCAAATTAAATACAGTAACGAAGACATCCCTATTGTGGCAAAAAATGGTTAAACTATGTAAAAGCTTGTAATAGACTTAAAAAATTTCCATAAAAAATGGTTGAAGTTTAAAAATAAATCAGGAAATCAGGGTGCTTAGGTGTGGGTAAAACTCATTTCATGAAAACTGTCATTCACTCTTGATAACCAGTTTTAGAATGCCATAAACAGGTTTCAGTATTTAAATTTTTTCCATCATAATAAATTCTCACAGCAGATACTGCCACATAAAAGTGCTTCCATCGGACTTAAAGCGAAGGTTGGGCAAACCATGGAAACCCACAATGGATCACGTGCAGCTGTTAGGGCAGAATACCACCGAGGGCCTGAGAGCAAGAGCAGCGCAAAGTGTCACAGTGCAGCCAGTCCAGCGAGAAAGGGAGCGAAAAATGCATGATGCATGTTTCAAACATTAAATATATGAAAATATGCACTTTTCCCACAGAAAGAACAATGAGAGGGTAAACTGAAAATCCTAGTCTACACCCCATACAGCATTTGGGCTGGGCTTCCCTGGCAGGACAGGTATTAAGGACCAAAAGATTCAGGCGCTGGTACTGATTTTCTAATTCTGAAACTGTCGTTCATATATGCACGCACACACATATACATACATATGTGTGTGTGTGCGTGTGTGGAGAGAGAGAGAGAGAGAGAGAGAGAGAGGGAGAAAACAGCAAAAAGTACTTCTGTTACTGGAGCTGAGAACCAGGATTTCCAAGAGGAACTAAGTACAAGTACAAAATCAGAGTAGCTAAGTTAAAAAACACATTTCAGTTGTAATCATACATACAAACGATTTTTTTCCCCCTTTCTTAAAAATATTTCCTGCTGTGTTCAGTGAAAACGCCCAAGATAATCCAACAGTAATAACCCTAAGAACTCAGCCTGCTGTCGCTAAATACTATTCCCCATTTTTAAAAAACCAGGGCCGGCCGAGTGGCTCAGTTGGTTAAGAGCTCGCTCAAGAATTTGAGCTCTGAGCAACAGCGGTTCAAGTCCCGGCCCGAGCTGAGCAGCCGCTGAGCTACCAACAGGTAGCAGGATGGCTCAGCTAAAAACAAACAAACAAACAAACAAACAAACAAAAAAAAACAGTTCCCTGGAGAAATGGCCAGTTCCATGCTCAGGAAAGGGTATGCATACAAATCCTGGACCATCTGTGTCAGAAACCAAGGAAGTTATCACAGACTAATGGGGACACTAACAGATCAATCCAAGCATCAAAATGAATAATGACTGCAATTCACTCAAATATATTGAGGACATAAATAGCCCTCAGTTCATAATGACTCAAAAAAAAAACAACCTTTCATCGATCACCAATGGAAATTGCTAGAACAACTCATTACCCTGAAAACTTACAAATAAAGAGGAGAAAAGTCAATCATTAATCCTCTCATTCCTGATTTCAAGTAAGGAAATAGTTCAGAGCAAGTTCCTCATTGTAGAAAAATTATAGCTAATAAATGTAGAAGAAACGACATGATTAAAAAAATCACCAATATGCAACATGTAATGAAATGATGGGTCTAGACCAGGGGTCGGCAAACTGCGGCTCGCAAACCACATGTGGCTCTTTGGATACGTTCCATCTCAAAAGTTTGCCGACCCCTGGAAGAGCCAATTCTGTCCCTCACAACAATTTAAAAATTACTCGAGAGCCATAAATATATTTTTACATAATCACCATTATGTGAATAATATCCTTTTTTAAAATTTTATAAATGAAACTATGATAGTTTTATTTCCATTTTCAATTTTACTTCAGTCACATGTACGTACCCAAACAGCCGCATGGGGTTCACGAGCCAGTTAGCTGACCCCTGGCGGCTCTTCCGTCTCAAAAGTTTGCTGACCCCTGATCTAGACAATGATCATAAGGGCATGCTGAAATCATCAGGTAATGTGGGAAAGGGGAACTTCTGACCAAGGGACCAAGCTGAGAACAACTACACCCATTTAGCGTCACCAAAAGTGGGAGGTCGTAGACATTTGCCTCCTGATAGCACCGGAAATATAAGCACCAACCATGAGGTGTTCTTGCAAAAACCCATATATACGTATGTAAGCCTGAGTGTAATCAAACACCTAGCCTAACTTCCAGTTAACAGGAAATACAAGGGACAGTAAAGTGAAACCACGAAGACGAAATCAGCCAAACCAGAATAAAGAACTGGTTTCTTCAACATGAATGACACGGAAAAAGGAGAGAGGAAGATTACCGATTTTTACAAGAGACTTCAGAGACCAAATGCTACGTGTGATCCTATCTGAACAAACCAACCGTAAGAACGTTTTTTTTTTGTTTTTTTTAAGATTTTATTGTGGAATTGGGGGAGGGAAACAACATTGGGAAATCGGGGAAGAGGAACAGACAAGTTGCTGTCCTTTTGTTCTTCAGTCTAGTTGTGGAGGACGTCGCTTCACTGGCCCATGTTGGTATTATCATTGCGCTCTTCCCGGGTGAGGCAGATCGGTCGCCGGCCATTGGACAGCCGCTCACCGCGGCTCACGGCAGCTCTCGCTGACTTCCGGTCACTCACGGTAGCTTATGGCAGCCCACTGCAGCAGGGGCTGCAGCCTACACCGTCGCCAGTGACTCACGGCAGCCCAGCTCCAAGTTGAGCTGTTGTTCACCATCTTAGCTGTAGAGAGCGCAGCGTCATTGGCCCTCATGTGGGATTGGAACCGGGGCCCTGCTGCTCAGAGCTGTCGTCCCAAGCCAACTCTTAACCAACACGCTACTTGGCCGGCCCAGGAATGTAGTTTTGAGACAACCAGAGAAATCTGAATATGGGTTGGGTTTTAGATCATATTAAGGAATGACTGTGAATTTGTTAGGTATAATAACAGGTTATGGTTTCTTTTCCTACATCAGAAATATATACTGAAAGGTTGGCTGAGTGGCGCGTTGGTTACGAGTTGGCTTGGGATGCCAACTCTGAGCAGCAGGGCTGGGGTTCGGATGTCACACGAGGGCCAGTGATGCTGCACCCTCTACAGCGAAGATGGTGAACAACAGCTCAATTGACCTGGAGCTGGGCTGCCTGAGTTGCCGGTGACGGCGACATAGGCTGCAGTGGGGCTAGCCGGCAGCAGGAGTGAGCTTTCATGAGCTGCCATGAGCCACTGTGAGCAGCCGTCCAACATTGGCCAGTGAAGTGACATCCTCCACAACTAGACTGAAGAACAAAAGGACAGCAACTTGTCTGTTCCCCTCCCCCAATTCCCCAATAAAACCTTAAAAAAAGAGAAATGTATACTGAAGTATATCTACAGGTTAAAAAATGGAGTATTTGAAACAAAGATTGGCAAAATGTTGATAACTGGCTGACAAATTCATTGTAAGTTTTTATACTATTCTCTCTCTGCCTTTATGCTTGGAAACTTCAACCCACATAAATGAAAGATTAATGGAGTTGCGAGTCAAGGGGATAAAGAACTCCATAGTCAGGTATACTAGGTGACTACAGGTGTGTCCTAGGAAAGGGGCTCAAGATGCTGTCTTTTCTCATGTAAAGAGGCAACACCAGCTACCTAACAGGGAGGGGTATGAAGAACACTTACCTCATCAGCTGTCTACATGTAAAACCCTCACACATATTATGACAAATAGTAGGTACTAATGAGTGTTAGTTTCCACTCTTACCTCAATCAGAAACATAATGAAGTCCCCCAAACCAAGAGGAAATACAGGGGGAATTCTTTATTTTTTTTTAAGCTTTATTGGGGAACAGCCATGGTCATTGGTTACACATTGTTTTCATGCTACAATGGCATAGTTGACACTTTTAGGGAGGACGCAGCTCAGAGTGGCCCATGCGGGGATCGAACTGGCAACCTTGGTGTTATCAGTACCATGCTCTAACCAACTGAGCTAACCGGTCACCCCACAAGGGAAATTTTTAAATAGAACATTTGGAAATAATAAGAAAGAAAATATCATAGAAGCAAATACATAAGATTAATTTTGTATTTTGTTAATTATTCTGGAAAAACCGTCTCAGGAGTAATTTTTGTTAAGAGTACTTTCATAAAAAGCATCTCATCAGATTTCTAGAAAAACAGGGTAACTTGGAAACATCAACAATTTCCTCCAGTCCCTCCTGAAACCGCTAAGGTAATAGCAAAGAAATAAAAAAGTTATGAACACACAGGAACAGACGGGGAGAAGCAAAACTAACAAAATTCTGGAAGACAGTGCACAGATAATTGGTAATGGACTGAGCAGAATAGAGAAAGTGGAACTAGGCATCCACAGAGAGAAGGGCCATCAGAGACAAAGACTAGAAATCAGGGTGCCTGGGATTTCGTAAGGGGGGTGAGAGAAGCGAGACAGCAAGGGAACCGTGCGTGCCTTCAGAGCTCCAGGGAAAAGAACTGCCACCTAGAAACCAGACACAAGCACACTGAATTCATCACGCGAGGGCTCAACACTTCCCTTTCCAGGCACCCTTTCTGAGGAAGCTACTGGAGGATATGTTCTATAAAACAAGAAGGTAAATGGAGAAGATGAGGAAAGCTGGGCCAAGCCTCACAGGGGAGGCAGAGGGCCTCGCAGGACGAGGGCTGCACCAGCTCCAGCACGGTCAGTCTCAGGTGGGGCGCTGCCAAGAGGGGGAAATCATAGACGGACTACCTGATCACACCA